TGGCTTTGATTTCGGTCAAGGGCACATGCCTGGGTTGTAGGGCTCGATCCCCAGTAAGAGGTGTGTTGGAGGCAGCAAATCACTGATTCTCTCCCATTGATGTTTCTATCCCTCCCTCTCCCTTCATCTCTGAAATCAATAAAAATATATTTTAAAAAATATATTTTGGTTGGCCACAATAAAAGCAGGGGTGGGGAAAGGCCATTTGGATATTTATAACATCATTTGCGGGCCATACAAAATTATCAACTTAAAAATTAGCTTGCTATATTTGGTCAAGCATTTAATTAACTCACCCCTAATGCCTTGGCAGGGCCAGACCAAATGATTTTGAGGCCTTATATGGCCCACGGGCCAGATGTTCCCCACCCTTGAGTATGTCTTAACCCAAAATAAATTGGTTTTGGTTGACTACTAGTTAAACTTCTAAGGATTAAAAATTATATATTTTAAGCTTACTTTTTATCTTATTTCACAGAAATAATTTGTGATTTTTGAAATGCAAAAGTATTCAAAACAAAACCACAAATGTACTTTGCTAATAGTGATAAAATGTTTGGCAGTGATTTTAAATTTAGAGTCCTTGCAGGTCTGGTTTTGCTTAGTACTTTTATTCTTAATGAAGCTATTACTTTAAATGAAACAGACATTGGATGTATTCAGCTGATTGTCCATTTCACAACTAGATGTCAGTGTTAACATACCTGATTAGATGTCTCAGGTGTGCTTTTAAGGAGGTAATTCAAGTAATTACTCACCTATATGAGATGTAGATCAGAAAATAAATTGTAAAGAAGGAAAAGAAGAAATGTACTTTTTCGCTACTACTAAGCAGAGTGACACTTCCACAAAATCTTTCCAGAAAGAGTGATCAGAAAAAGAAGGAACATTATTGCTGTTTAAATGCTGTGTGTGTGTGTGTGTGTGTGTGTGTGTGTGTGTGTGTTTGTGCGTGCGTGCATGATTCTTGCTTGCTTAAATAATTGTATTAACCAACTCCAGGCACTTTCAGTTTGTTGCCTATATTGCAAATTACATCTTTTATTTAGCAAAACAATTAAATTATTCAGTGAAGTTTATTTAATTCTGAGCTTTTATGATGGTTAGTAGTAGCTTAGTTCTTGACCTGAATTATAATAGGTGATTTTGCAAAGTGATCTTTATATACTAATTTTTTTATTGTTTAAAAGCCTTTTTTATTTATGTTTCAAGATCTCTCTGATGCTTTTGACAAAGATATAGTTTATATCTTTATTTTATACTAGAGGCCCAGTGCACAAAAATTTGTGCACTGGGTGGCGGGGGTGGGGGGGGTTCCTCAACCCGGCCTGTGCCCTCTTGCAGTCTGGGACCCCTCGGAGGATGTCCACCTGCTGGCTTAGGCCCGCTCCCCAGGGGATCGGGCCTAAGCTGGCAGTCAGACA